CTACAATAAACCTTAGTAAAGTGTACCGAAGGTAAAGAACATTACAGCAGGGTTTGTTTCCAACAGCTTCTACACACATCCTACTGGACCTCACTGGGAATGGCTCCAGCAGTGCTGCTTCTCTGGGCAATCTGCTGAAGTTGGGTACACGGCATTCTCAGGGGTTATTTTATGAATCTTCTCGTCTGAACTAATTGGTCACAGTCCAGCGGCATAATCCATTGGGGCAAACAATTCCATTTCCCCCGTAGTTAATATTTTGGGGGAGATACCATCGGGGAGAATGTCAATCCTCACCATGTTTTGTACCAGGAGTGGTGCGTTTCCATCGGCAGCTTTTCCGTGCTCTTCCAATAACTTGTCATAAGGGGGAGCCTCCTCCACAGGAGATCTCGGGATATCTCTGACGGGAAGAGTTTCCCTCACTCTGGGCGTTTGATTAAATGATCCAGTTGTGAGAAGAGGGGCATGTGGAGAGGACACGGGTGGTTTTCCTGGTAGAAATCATTGCTGTAAATAATCCCATTTCCAAGGCGTCCTGATGGGACAACGCTAATTCGACAGATTCCCCATACGCTGTTAGAACTGCGGCACACAGCCCTCGACAGAGCGTAGGTTCAGTCACATCTCGCCCATCAGGACCTCTGAGAGGAGTGGTGGCTCATCAGGGCCATCAGCTGGCCTGTGCCTCAGCGTCCACCTGTGGGAGCTGCTCCACGGGCACGTCAGCATCCATCAGTGCCTGCGTTTGGGGAGCTTGACACCCCGTCGAAATAACATGAAAAAGCTGGAGGGCACGACAAGGTTGGGTTTGCCCAGAGCAGCCATCACCAGGGTGGAGGGACAGGGGCCAGCAGACTCCGGGATGTGGGGAACGCGAGGCTGAGGGCAGCCATGGAGCGAGGACCGGGAGCCCATCGCCTCTGGAGGGTCTCACGGCCGCTCCCACGTCCCCCCACGTCTGTGAGTTCATTATGGGGCAGATTCCAGAACCACCAGACAGGCAGGGTTTCCCAGACGATGGCGGAGGGCAAGGACAAAGCCCTGTGGCTCCTCCGGGAGAAGCACCTTCCACTGCCTCGAGCCTCGAGACGGGTGACAGCTCGGCTCCCCCGGCTCTTCATCCTCCGACATGGAGAGGAAGATGAGTGCTATGGCTTGTGGCGTCTTCAACGAGCTTCGCCTGGAAGGAAAACTCTGTGACGTGACCATCAGCGTGGATGGGGTGGAATTCAATGCCCACAAGAACATCCTCTGTAGTTGCAGTCACTACTTCAGGTTGGTTGCTCAAAACAAGAGGGGACAGGGACAAACGGCATTCCATGGGCTGTGTCGTGCTGCCTTAGTGTATCTCCAGCGCTTCCCTCAGCCCCAAAACTCTCCTCCAGCAGATCCACACAGTCCTGGTACCTGCCTGGGCACCACAGTTCATCTATAACCCAGGATCTCACAGCAATGCTGGCAGTGGGGTCTGTAGAACCTGCAGAGGTGGTGCAGGGATGGAGCGTGGCCAGCCGGGCTCGTGGGCCATGGGCCAGAGCTGTTCCTGCCCCACACACCACCGCTCTGGTGGCCTCGGTGAAGCAAGGTGGTCACTGGTCCAGCGCCTCTCTGTCCACAGCCCAACTTGGTTCCCCGGGGAAGGAAGCTGCTTTTCTCCCCAACATGTCTCGGTGTTTTCCAGGGCTCTGTTTGCCAGCAACTGGAGCAACGTGGAGAGAAGAGTCTATAAAATCGAGGGCACTTCTCCGGAAATGATGCGGCTCATCATCGAGTACGCCTACATCAGGACGGTGCCCATCACTGTGGACAACGTGCAAAGTTTGCTGGTCGCAGCCGACCAGTTCAACGTCATGGGCATCGTCAGACTCTGCTGCGAGTTCTTGAAGTCCCAGATGTGCCCGGAAAATTGTATTGGCATTTACAGACTCGCAGATTATTGCTACTGCTCCGACCTGCGGGAAGCAGCCCTCATGTTCCTCCTCTATCACTTTGAGGACGTGACCAAGCTCTCCACAGAGTTTCTAGACCTCTCCGTTGATGAGTTCAGACACATCTTGGAGAAGGACGAGCTCAATGTGAAACGGGAACAGGCAGCGTTCGAGGCCATTCTGAAATGGATTGATCACTCCCCGTGGAACCGAAGGCAGCACATTGGGGTCCTGCTGGGCAAGGTGGGTGCTGTCCCAGCCCTTGGGTTCTCTCTGAGCTATGGACAACCCTCCAGCCTGAAGGCAAAGCCACTTGGCATCGGAGCCTTCCACAAAAGATACTAGGGTATAAATCATCTCCACTAATCACAGAATTGTCATGGTTGGAAAGGACATATGAAATTACCGAGTCCAATCATACACACACAAAAATACCCTACAATCTCGGCCACCAGAGCATGCCCTGAAGTGCACACCTACGCGTTTCTTAAAAACCTCCAGGGATGGTGACTCAACCACCTCCCTGGGGAGGCTGCTCCAGTACCTGACCACTCTTTCAGTAAAGTAATTCTTCCTAATATTTAATCTAAACCTCCCCTGTTGCAACTTCAGACCATTTCCTCTGGTCCTTTCATTATTCACTTGGGAGAAGAGGCCAACACCCACCTCTCTACAACCTCCTTTTTGCATTTGTCAGGTTCGACTGGCGCTGATGGACGTAGAATACTTCATGAAGAACGTCAAAATGCACGACTACGTGAGGGACAATGAGGATTGCAAAGGTCTCATCAGAAATGCCCTGACAGAGATGTACAACCTCGATATGCAAAGCCCATCCTCCTCCGAACTCACTCGGCCTCGCTTGCCCAGCACCATCTTGTTTGCCATCGGAGGCTGGAGTGGGGGCAGCCCAACCAACACCATCGAGACCTACGATTCCCGGGCAGACCAGTGGGTGAACGTCACCTGCGAGCAAGAAAGAACCCTCGCCTACCACGGCACAGCTTACTTCAAAGGCTTCATCTACGTCGTCGGAGGATTTGACAGCTCGGATTATTTCAGCAGCGTCAAGCGCTTTGACCCGCTGAAGAAAACGTGGCAGCAGGTGGCCCCCATGCACTCCCGGCGCTGCTACGTCAGCGTCGCCGTCCTCAACAACTTCCTCTACGCCATGGGGGGCTTTGATGGACACACACGCCTCAACACCGCGGAGCGGTACCAGCCCGAGACCAACCAGTGGACGCTGATTGCCCCCATGCACGAGCAGAGAAGCGACGCGAGTGCGACCACGCTGCATGGAAAGGTAAACAGGAGGTTATGGAAAGCGGGGGAGGCTGGAGGCTGGGGAGCAGGACGAGGAACCAAACACTCACCAGTGTGCAGCAGGACCCAGCCAGCCAGCGCCCATCCTGTCCCGTGGCACGGCCCCAGGCAGGGACTCTCATGGACCTCAGCCAGGGAGAAACAGCTACCACTCCCCGGTTGTTATCTAGAGAGAAAAGTGGTAAAACCCCCCAAAATCCCCAACAAACCAACCAACCCTCCCAAAATCCAGCCAGACCATTCATTACCTCCACAACGTGTTCTCCCCCAAGGATATCACTGCCCTGCTCACCCTTTGCTCCTCCTGGGAACAGGTCTATATCTGTGGAGGGTTCAACGGGACCGAATGCTTGATCACAGCTGAAGCGTACGATGCCACCACCCACCAATGGACCTTGATTGCCCCCATGAGCAGCAGAAGAAGCGGAGTAGGAGTCATTGCCTACAGGAACCAAGTGTATGCGGTAAGGGAGCGCTGGCACCTCCGCCCTAACACTGCCCAGCACCTTAGTCCTTCCTTTGGACAATGGGCATTTCTCAGATTTTGGGTTATGGAAAATCTCTGGATAATTGTTAAGCAGCTACAGCAAAGAGACATCTTACAACCAGTCACCATTTGACTTCTACAATCCTAGAATCACCTTGGTTGGAGGGGCCTCTCAGCTCATTGAGTCCAACCATCAACCCAACACTGACAAAATCCATCACTTACCCCCATCTCTAAGCACCACGTCTGCCCAACTTTGAAATCCCTCCAGGGATGGAGACTCCACCACTGCCCTGGGCAGCCTCTTCCGAGGCTTCATAACCCTTTCAGTGTCAACATTTTTCTTCATATTCATCCTAAACCTCCCCTGGAACAACTAGAGGCCATTTCCTCTTGTCCCATCACCTCTTCCTTGGGAGAAGAGACAGAACCCCACCTCCTACACCCTCCTTGACCTGTGCACCCAATGGTTCTGGTGAGGAAAGGCCCATTTCAGCCTTCATAACCCTTTCAGTGTCAACATTTTTCTTCATATTCATCCTAAACCTCCCCTGGAACAACTAGAGGCCATTTCCTCTTGTCCCATCACCTCTTCCTTGGGAGAAGAGACAGAACCCCACCTCCTACACCCTCCTTGACCTGTGCACCCAATGGTTCTGGTGAGGAAAGGCCCATTTCAGCTCTGTACCTTTGCCATTCCAGGTGGGAGGATTCGATGGAGTCAACCGCCTTCGCAGCGCAGAAGCGTACAACCCCCTGGCCAACACGTGGCGCAGCGTCCCCAGCATGCTCAGTCCTCGCAGCAACTTTGGCATTGAAGTGGTGGATGATGTCCTGGTTGTGGTTGGTGGCTTTAACGGCTTTACCACGACTTCCTTTGTGGAAGGTTTTGAGGAAGAAGAGAATGCGTGGAACGATCTTCAGGACATGAGCATCAACCGCAGTGCTCTGAGCTGCTGTGTGGTGCCAGCTCTGGCCAACGTCAGGGAGTACGTGGCCAGACGGGACTACTACATGGACAACTCCTCAAAGGAAGTAGGGGCCATTTCCTCCACAAGCAGCCTGCCTGTATGAACAGTTCCACCGAGCTAATAAACAGTTCCACTTGAGCAACAAGTGAATGTCACTTATTCAAAAACCAAAACCGATTGATAGAGCCCAAAATTAGTTCTGAACCCTTGCCTTCCAGGGCACCACAGAACGTGCCCATCAGCCACAGCCTACGTAGCAACTTCAGAAAGCAACGGACAGCAGAATGCTAGAGAAATAAAAAGTTTATTTTCATCCATTCACTTACTACAATAAACTTTAATACAGTGTACTGAAGGTAAAGAACATTACAGTAGGGTTTGTTTCCAATGGCCTCTACACACATCCTACTGGACCTCACTGGGAGCAGCTCCAGGAGTGCTGCTTCTCTGGGCAATCTGCTGGAGCCTCTGGCACCAGCCCCAGGGATTGCTACCGCCGTGCCCTGCAGTGACATGGACCCACAAGGAGTATCTGACTCTTAATAGGCCCCACACATCTCGTTAGATCTGCACTTTGCATTCACACCAGCAACAGATTAGATTCCCAGGAGCACCCGTTTGAGCAGAGTTCTGGGCGGGCTGTCAGATCAGAGATAGGATTTATACCCGCACGTAATGTGAGCAGAGCTGAAAATAAATCCATTTATTTTAAGCTTGCTTGTTTAAGCCCACTGAATGTTACAGCATAACCGTTATAAGGTTCTTTAAAAAAAAAAAAAAAAAGTAAAAAGTTGCAACTCTTTGTGACTGGGTTTGCCAGTGGTGCTCAGCCTATTCCCCCACGGGAGGAATACTTTAATATACTTCTGATTTAACACTTTCTGTAATGGAGAAAAATGATATTGAACTCGTAGAGCAGAATGCTCGGCACAGTCATTCATAACACATGCTACAAAGCTGGCATGCTGTCCTCATTTCTGGAGTGGCACCCTGCTCTGTGCAAGAGGAAGTCTCGTTAATAAGACACACAAGCCCAGCACACACCAGAGTATTCAGGGAGTTATAAAACCTGACGTCCACGTGTGGCATCTGGAAATGGATCTGGTGACCACCAAGCGTGGGGCAGGATGTGTCCTACCCCACCAGCACTATGAGGAGAAAGATAGGACACGAAACATGCATTTTGTGGCACGTATTCTGTACCGGGATAGAGGTACGACTGTCAGCAGGCAGAGGAAAATCTCCAGCTGATGCTCTTTTACAGGAGGAAGGCCAGGAGTCGGCCTGCTGACACCGAACTGAGTACACACCAGGATCCTACTGACATTGAAAAAGCCATTAGAAATGTACTGAAAGAATTCCCAGGGTTTTTTTTTTTAGAGCATCATTTGATAAACATTCAGCAAGCTACGGCAGTCAAGGGCCACCAGGGGATGTGGTACCCCATTCACAGGTCTGCAGGATAAATTACAGCCAGAATTAAAGCAATTCTTCCAAACACCTACAGGTGATACGACAGACGGTTAAGACTTGTCAGTTAAAAATCCATGTGCAATGCAATTGGTCCACTTCAAGTCAAGGCTAAAATAACCCCAAACGACTTAACAACTCCACAGACTCGGCATAGCAAAGGTTAGAGCAAACTGGTGCCATTCCCAGTGCCCATCACTCCCCATGCAACCGGAGCGGGCGGAGGTATCGTGCACCACACACAGGACCACGGCTGGCATTCCCGACGGGCACTCTGGACCCTACACTGTGCTGGCACTGCCTTTGAGTGGAATGTTTTATGAGCTGCACAGCTCCTAGGGCAGCCTGAAGTCCCCACGGCAAGTGCAGGATCAATTTTGCTTCAAAAAAAGAAAGACTGTGAGCAGTTTGCTCTTGCATCTAACTTTGTCGCGTGTTGCCACACACCAAACTATTCCAATTGAAGTAATAATCTTTCTGTTTCTCCCTACAAATGGTCCATTTTGTTGACAGACTACAAAAGGGCTTTTTCACAGCCCATTACATCCCTACAGGAAAGTCAGGGGGTGGAGCATGTAAACTCTTCTGGGCAGAATCTGGTAAAAGTATCTTAAAACCAGCTCCCACAGATCTAAGTTATATCAATGGATCCAGTACTAAAGCCGTGAGGTGTTTTCACACTTCTACTCACAAACCCTGCTGGAGGGGCAGTAATTCTCAAACCACTCCAGCCAAATCTGCAAGAATTCATGGACCAAACTCCACTGATTAACCCCTCAGTTCCAGGCCTGCAGGCACTGGTTTGTAACAGCCACTTCTGGACATCAGCCTGAAACCTGAACTTACCTATTTCCTCTCTTGCATCAGGCCAGCACCTTACAATTTAATCTGCCCTAACAATCCAACGGGCAAATAAAATACAACACGGCTACCACAGATGAGCCAATTGAGACTAAACTGATTTCAGATTTCCAGGGTGTGTGTGCATTTGTTTGAAATAAGGCTAGATTATTCTATTACACAAAGACAACATAATGGATATCAAAAGTGGTAAGTGAACTGCAAAGTGGAGCGTTAAGGGCTATACACATCAGAGAAACCTTCACACACTGTGGTTGAGAGACTTACCCGGTGTTTCAGACAGGATCTAGGCTGCCTGCTGAATGGGAAAATGAGAAGTATCAGCTCAGTAAGCTAAACAATTAAAAAACAAAACAAAGAAACCAAACTGTTTAGAAGTTCTTTTGCAAAGAAGCTGCTCACATCAAAACCACCAGCAAATCATCATATGAACCAAAGACAGTCAACAGATTCTCCAACAGTGTCTGGCTACACCAAGTCTGGAACACCCTGGTTACTGTTCCCTGCCCTTCCCTGGGATCCTGAGTTAGGCTGCCTGTGAAATCCTGAAACATTCCAATGAAGGGAAGGACGGGGAAGAAGAGGAGGTAGGAAGGATACACTGAATTAACCTAGACCATCCTGGAGCTCCTCAGCCCAGGGGGGAGGAGTGCTCAGAGGGACTGTTAACCAAGAGGCAGTGATACTCCAAAGGGAATAATATTCCATGTTCTGTTCCCTGGGAGTAGAGCAGTAAAGCAAACCAGAGCCAACAGGGCACTGATTTATATAAAACCACCTCAAAATGCCAAAAGGTATTTGAATCAGCTTTAATCTTACTGCCACAGTGAGTGGGGAAATTAAGATATTCAGAGACTACGAAAACTCAACCACCTCACTCCAAGAGGAACTCCAAGGGCCGATTTGCCGGGGAGCTTGGCAGGAGACCTGCTGGGAGGTTCTGGGGAAGGAATACTGAAGGCAAAGGGTACTGATTGTCAAAGACAGGCTGGAAACAAGCTCATGGGGGCTCTTCTCAGTGCTTTTTCATCAGAATTAAAACACGTGCAACACTTGGGAAAGGATATACAAATAGCTCAGATTCCAATCTATTACTGTGAAAGAATCTTCATTCTCACCAACCCACATGGACAGAAATGAGCAGTCCATGCTGGGGGGTGGCTACTTGGCTGGTTTGCACTCCTTTTATCAGGCTGATTGTTGACCCAAGTTTCTCATGAAGCTGTCAAAGACAAACTCAGAGCATCTTCAGATGTAACTGAAAAAAAATCTACTGCCTCAAGTTCTCTGTTTTAGCAAGTGTCTGAGGCTCTGCCAATCTCCCATTTATAAACAAACTCCGCAGCCTTTCTAGACCATACAGATACAAAATATTTAATACACGTAGAAACATCCTGAAGTAATTTTATAAAGAAAGATTGTGCTTTTGTTTTCAGATATAGTTATAACTATTGCACTTGCCTCCAGCTTGGGAAAGCCAAGTACACTAACACCAACTAGATGTGAAGTTTAGTCACTGAGTAGAGAATCAAAGGAATGTCAATATATAAGTGCAAATAAAACAGGTGCTTTCAAGCACACACAAATGTAACCACTAAATTATTAAGATAGAGATCTTTGATTTTCAAAATAGAACTGTTAGAGCATTTCTACAGGAATCCTTGAAAACAAAGATCTGAAGAGAGAAATAACAGACTCAACGTTCCTGGAGATACTTCACAGCCCGTTACAGGCTACAGCTTTTCCCTGGGCACCAGTAAATAACATCGGATTGGATTCACGTAGTTTCCCAATTCCCATCCACCCTCAATTTCTGAGCTTCTTAATCTTCAATACATAAAGGATGCTGGTTTTACACACCAAATCAAAACCCTCATGTCTTATAAAGACACATTAAGCCTAACAAAATGGTTTAGCACAGTATTTATTTCCCAGATTCCTCGGGAGGAGTGATATTCCAGAAACTAGCACTCAATCTGCGAGCGGGGCATTCTCCTTAAGCTCAGGGAGTGTCGGTGCATTTCCTGCATCTGCCTTTCCTGCATTTGCCTTATTCTATCTTTTTGCCACATCAAGTTTTGCGGCATGGGGTATCTCTGTGTTCCCTGCAAGCACCTGAAGGGGATTCTCACGTGGCAGGCTGTCGCCCTGCAGCGAGGCTGGGGCATCGGAGGCAGGAGCATCCAGCGCTTTCTCTCAGCGCAGTAACGATAGGCCTCCTTCCTGTATTGCTTGTCAATATCATCGCTGTTCTTCCACCCCCCGATGATGAAAACATCATCTTTATAATAACAAATAGCTGCTCCTTCAATGCTAAGAACCTCCGGGGGCAAGCTTTCCAGTATTTCATCGGAGGCCCTCCCAGAGATCTTTCTTTTAGCTTCCTCGTTATCTATGGGGTAACTCTTGGGGCAGCACGATGCTGTATGGTAAAAGTTTGTGTTAGCGACAGACATCTGAAACGAGCAATAATTATCAACGAGCGGCAGAGACTCCACGTCCTGCCACTGCCTTGTTTCAGTATCGTATCTGATAATAACCGCCCTCAAGCCATCTTCGCTATCGCTGTCGACCGGGGTACGAGCAGCAACATAAACAAACCGGTCTTCAACAGAAACAGCTTTGACATCACGAAGAATCTTTGGTGCTGACTCCAGGTTAAGCCATTTATCTTGCTCGGGATTATAAATGGCCACATCTTTAAAGCCAGGACTGAAATTGCCATGTCCGCCAATACTGTACAAATTTCCTTTCACTTCAGTAAGGCCAAAAGAATGCTTTCTGGTTATTAGATTTGAAACTTGCTCCCAAATATTCCTGTTCGGATTGTACCTTTCTACAGTCTTGGCAAAGCCTGGTTCCATGGAGCCAGCCACATAAACATAAGATTCTGTCACGGCAACCGCGTGCCCATCGAGATGGTTGTGTATGTGTGGTAAGTTTACCCACCTATCTTCATCGATGAAATACCCTACGCACTCGCTTAAGTAATCTCCTCCCTCCGACACACCACCAATCACCATAATGACGTCCATGTTTTGTCCGAAACGCGGTAACAGCGCTACCGGACAAGCGGAATGTTGTAGGTTGCCAGACTGCAAGTTCTCCGAGCGCAAGGCGTGACTCTCCACGGCTTCAGACACTAATTTCACACAGGCTTCGTTACTCGACACCAGCCTCTCTGATTTGACGTGGCGGGTAAGGTAAGTGGGTTTCATCTGAGACAATCTAAGCAGTTTAAAGAGATCTTCAAAGTACCTCTCTCTTTCCTCGGGTTTCTTCTGCACCCACTTCAAGACAGTCTCAAAGAGGATTTCTTCAGAGTCTACTGTGATCTCCGAGTCTGAAAGCCAGTCCCTGATGAGGTGGAAGGGCAGAGTGTAGAACTCCTCATCCTGGATAACTTTGTGGAAGTTCCTCCGGATCATGTCCTGGGCTTTGAGGGCCAGCTGGTTCAAGGAGTACATGTGGGCCAAGCTGTGCACCGCCACGCAGTTGGAGAGGTTGAGCTTCTTCTTCAGGAACTCTCCGCAGAACTCCTTTAAGCGGGTCAGCAGAAACCTGCAGAACAAACCAAGAGGGGTGATGGGGGGGCCCTGCTTGCCGCCGGCCCGGTGCTGGCCACCCCCCCGGGCCCGGGCCCCGCTCACCTGTCCGCCATCTCCAGCACCTCATGGACGTTGCCGGGGCTCACGCGGATGGTGCCGGTGTACATGAAGCCCACCACGGCCTCCACCGTGTCGGGGTCGGGGCCGCCCTCCGAATTCCACTTCTGCAGCTCCACGCGGTCCGAGCGCGACTCGGCGAAGCCCCCCGAGAACAGCGGCGTGAAGTACTCGGTGGCGGCGGCCAGGACGGAGCGGTGAGCCCGGTACTCGCGAGCCGCCCCGGGCCGCCCGCCCCCGAAGGCCAAAGTGATGTCGCAATAGAGGCCGTGGCGGCGCTGCTCGTTCTGCCGCCAGGCCAGGTCGGAGCAGTGCGCCGGGCACCCGAACTCCTCCGCCTCCGCCTCCTCGTCCGCCCCGCCGCCGCGCGGGCCCCCGCCCTCCGCCTCCGCCGCCGGGGGGCCCGGGCCCGGCTGGGGCTGAGGGGAGGCCGCGGCCGCCGCCATCTTGTCCGACATGGCGGGGGGCGG